AAGGTATAGCTAGGGTATTTCAACTCACAGATGAACCCACAAATGAGCCTTCAGCAACGACTTTCTCGGATCCATTACTCCAGTTTGTATACACAATTTGACACTGGGAGACTTAGGTTACTTTGTACAGAAGTTAGAATATATGTGGATGTTTGAGGTGATTCGAACCATGTGCTAATTACGAACTGGTCTACACATTATTCTACACAGACCGATTTCATTGTTGATGTTTATGTGTGACCTACCCTTTCTAACCTTATATCTCAATCATACCAATGAGACCGATACCATACTGACTACTCATGATAATAATACTATATCCTCCTATTATAATTATCTCATTTCCCTTACCCGTATTATCCAAATCTCTTTCAAATTCATGCGAAAACTCTGGCCTTTAAGACCTCTTTCCTCTTACTGGAGAATACACAAAATACACAAAACCCTGTAAAATACTTTCATTGGAATGTATCTCATGATTTGATCTTAAACTAAAGAAAGAACCTTAAAATCTAAATGTGAATTAATCAACACAAGAACACCTTTACTTTGTAAAGTACTATCATGACTGAAATACCAACTCCCATCCCACATTAAACTACATGTATCTTCTATATCAGAAGTACTGTATGTTTCTTGCAATATAATATCTACATATTTATCCTTGCACTGAGAAAATATATGGGATCTTTGATTCTTTTCCCTGATTTTTTCATTTACGAAAAGAAAAGTACAAGAAAGGATAGATTGTCTACACCCACACACACATCCACACCCAGACCATACCAGACATCCGATTAAACTATCCACAGTGGCCAAAAACAGTCAGTTTAGACTCTTTGGAGTCGGTGCGAAGTAGGTTTGCCAGTGTAACTGGGGGTATTAATCATATCTCCAAACTGACTTCAAACCGACCGATTATCTGCGATTCGGGGCAATATATTAGTGTGTCCGGTCTGTTGTTGGTCTAGCTGGCATCTTCTGTCAGTTGAACCACCCATGAATCAAAATTTGTCTATTTTTTTTTTAGAACTCATTTTCAAGATATAGGATGATAGTCCATTTTTTTTTACTAAACAAAATTCTGAGAATGTATTAAATATGAGAAAAATGAAAGTCATACATTTTGAGCAAAGGGTTCGATTATGAAGTGCATATGTACATGAAGAGAGGCGAATAATATGCACTTTGTTAGCATTTTATAATGCTTAATTGATGGCGATACAATGACAAATTTGGTTTATATTTTGCCAATTCTAGAGGTATGAAGCGAGTATTCTACACCAACCGATTACATCATTACACATTCATGTAGAGTTTAACAGAAAAGCGATCTTATATGTGGAATTCTTTATCATTCTCTGTCCCTTTCGTATATCTCTTTTTTTCCTGTTCTCTCTTATATTTCTTAGTATTCGATGTTTTTTAGTGTGTGTTTGGTGCGTGGGGAAGGGGGGGGGCATATCAACCTAGCAATGGTTATGAATGAGGCGTAATTAAATATTGATCCGCCATGTTCTTTTTCTTTCACGCAGATCTAAAACCAGGTATATTTCAGGCCCACAAAAAATACAGAGAAATGGCAAGGAAATAGGACTGTGTTGTTGCAATACGCAGCACAGTAATGTAGGCAGACTTCTACAGCCGAATACGGATCTGAATGCAAAGTCCAATTCATGAAATGCTTTCATATAATCACGCTTGAGTGTTCCTTCAGAATAGACCAAATATCATCGGTACTACAGGGTACAGGCTAGTTTACACAGTAGTTCAATGTCACATTATGTATAAGTAACATGGTGTTTGGAGAGCACGGTAATATCATAATGAGAAAAACGTTGTAGGTGTGAATTACGTTTAACATGGCGCTGTTTTCATCAGCAGCAAAAGGAGACGTCCTGAAGATACAATCATTAATCAGCTCAGAAGACAAGTCAGAGGATTCGGGAGGAGTTGATGTAAACTGCTCGGATGCGTCCGGCAAGACGGCCCTCCACATTGCTTCGGAAAATGGACATTTGCAAACGGTTAAATGCCTAACCAATCATGGAGCAAAAGTGAATGCTGTCGATGCTAACCTACAGACATCGGTTCACTTATGCTCAAAGGAAGGCCACCTTCGTGTGGTAGAGCTGTTAGTGAACAAAGGAGCAGATATTGAAATTGGTGACAAAGATGGGTTTACACCTCTTCACATAGCATCATTCGAGGGTCATCTTGATATTGTCAAATGCCTTGTTAGAAGAGGGGCAGACCTAGGGAGACTTGCTAATGATTACTGGACACCTCTAAACCTTGCTTTAGACGATGGCCATCTTGACATTGCAGAGTACCTTTTGACAGAAGGAGCCAACATTAACACTTGTGGTAAAGGGGAATGTACAGCTCTACATACTGCATCACAAACTGGTAATATTGATGGAGTGAAATATCTAACCAGTCATGGAGCAGAACTGGATAGGAGCACTGACGATGGTTGGACCGCACTTAGTTTGGCTTCATTTAGGGGACACCTTGACATTGTCAAAGTTCTCGTTAACGAAGGGGTAGAGGTTGACAAAGCACTCAGGAACGGAATGACACCCTTGTTTCTGGCAACAAAAAAAGGCCATTTGGGTATTGTCGAAGTCTTACTGAACGTAGGAGCAATAATTGATAACTGTAATCGAAACGGGAAAACAGCACTCCACATCGCATCGTCCAATGGACACGTTGAAATAGTGCACCATCTTGTTAGCAAAGGGGCACAGCTTGACAAATGTGACAGTACCGGTAGGACACCCTTGTATTGTGCTTCTCAGGAAGGTCATCTTGAAGTCGTCGAGTATATCGTGAACAAAGGAGAAGGTATTGATATTGGTGATAAAGATGGGTTTACAGCTCTTCACATAGCATCACTTAAGGGTCATCTTGACATTATCAAATCCCTTGTTAGGAAAGGGTCAGACCTGGGGAGACTAGCTAATGATTACTGGACACCTCTACACCTTGCTTTAGACGAAAGTCATCTCCACGTTGTAGAGTACCTTTTGACAGAAGGAGCCAATATCAACGCGTGTGGTAAAGGTGGATATACAGCACTACATGATGCATCCAAAACTGGTAATATTGATGGAGTGAAATATCTAACCAGTCATGGAGTAGAGCTGGATAGGAGCACTGACGATGGTTGGACCCCACTTAGTCTGGCCTTGTTTGGGGAACACCTTGACATTGTCAAAGTTCTCGTTAACGAAGGGGTAGAGGTTGACAAAGCACTCAGGAGCGGGATGACACCCTTGTGTCTTGCAACAAACAGAGGCCATATGGGTATTATCGAGGTCTTACTGAACGTAGGAGCAAATATTGATAACTGTAATCGAGACGGGTTAACAGCACTCCACATTGCATCGTCTAATGGACACGTTGAAATAGTGCATCATCTTGTTAGCAAAGGGGCACAGCTTGACAAATGTGACAAAATCCACAGGACATCCTTGTCTTGTGCTTCTCAAGAAGGCCATCTTGAAGTCGTCGAGTATATCGTGAACAAAGGAGCAGGCATTGAAATTCCTGATAAAAATGGGTTTACAGCTCTTCACATAGCATCAACCGAGGGTCATCTTGATGTTGTCAAATACCTTGTTAGGAAAGGGGCACAGCTTGACAAATGTGACAAAACCGACAGGACACCCTTGGCTTGTGCTTCTCGAGAAGGCCATCTTGAAGTCGTCGAGTATATCGTGAACAAAGGAGCAGGCATTGAAATTGCTGATAAAAATGGATTTACAGCTCTTCACAGAGCATCAACCGAGGGTCATCTTGATGTTGTCAAATACCTTGTTAGTAAAGGGGCAGACCTGTGGAGACTTACTGATGATTACTGGACACCTTCAGGCCTTGCTCTTAATGGTGGCCATCTGGGTATACATGACTATCTTTTAAATAGAGAAGCAACACAGATCGTTAAGCCATTCATTGGGTTTGAAGAGGACCACTTTGGCGACCTTCTCAGTACTTGTAGCGGTGAGGCTCTGCCTAGCCCAATGCCCCGTCCATACTCCCGACCATACGGTCCATCTCTTGCCAGTCCACAAGACATCTCTCGCTCCTCGAGGAAAAGCATCACAGAAGACACAATGATTATAAGTCTCAACGAGTACAGCATCAAGGTTCCACTTTCACTAGAAGATGTGGACAGTGCTAAATATATCACAGCAGAAGCAATTTCAACCATTCCACCTGACTTAAAGTTGAGCAAAGACGAAGTTATCATCTCAGTTGGGCTTAAGCTATCCCCTCCTGGTCTTCAGTTTAAAACCCCGGTGGAAGTCACGGTCTCACATAGCGCTATTTTCACCAACCCAGACAAGGCAGAAATTGTACTATACACCCGAAGAACTGGTTAGAACTTCCTATTACTATAGATCCCATATTTCCATATAAATTCCTTTCTCTTGTTGTGACAGTGCAGAGAGCCCCTGACTGCCCGGACGAACCCGTCCATCACCATTATGACAGAGATCTTCACACAAAATTAATGCTTCCCTACTATTCCTGGTATCATATGACCTCACTTCAATGTTGATATTCCTCTCAGAATGTTCTTTTTCACTGAGTTTTACTTGATAAACTTCTATTAGAATAAAAGTTCACTTTAATTTTTCTTGTTAGTCTTTGTGTTTGAATAACTTATAAGTCTCACAGTTAATACATCCGCCAATTTCCAGATTCTTGTGGAAAGATGGAAGGGAATTGTGGGAATTAAACAACTAAAGATTAAGCATGATCTAATACATGAAATTGTTTGTTAATAGCCAATCACCAAATAGCAGTTGACATCTTTTAATGACATTGCTCATAATAAACAATGACCTTCCAACATAGCTTCTCAGTCAATCTGCGAACCTTACTCCAAAAATACTTTCCTTTCTTTGTTATACTAAATCCCTGAGCGTTGACAGTTCACCGCGTAGCAAAATTAACACGGTCCCTTCTTTCTATGTGTGTCTTGTTGAAAGGGTCTGATGAATTTTCAAGGATAGTTCCTGCTTCTGACAAAGCTGCTCGGTGTGTAGTCGCAAAGAATCACCTTATTCTGTACTTAGATCATTTCTCGGAATGGTGGATTATCTCCTTAATCAGGAGATACTTCATCGGTAAACGGCTCATCTGTACGCCATACGTTCCCCTGTCAACATACAGAGACGTGTTGAACCGCATCTATCTCGTCATTAAAGACGACTTCTACGGCATGAAAGAGGTAGTTTTATTATGAATTAAACGTATTTCGTATTTGGAGATTAATTTTCAGACTTTGTCCAATCTATTTCATCATTGTACATCTAATTTCGTCAAAGTCAAATCAAGTTCGTCATCCTTGGCTGCCAACGTACAATTGAATGACATTTTTTTGCCCCTTTTGCAATCGATTTCGTCAAAGCGTCATTCAAATACATCCTTCGTTCGTTAAAAGGTCATGCTATCCAACGAATTTGAATGGAATTCTCTTGTAATTGATTGCACAAGGACGAATTTGGACCGCACCGTGAGACGAATTCGAATGAAATCTGACGGAAATAAATGAACAAGCGTTGATATTGATTGACTATTGGCTAACTTGGATGACATGATTTCTAGATTAAATTTGACATTTGCACGATCCCGGATTCTTAGAGTTAAATTAAAGTGCACAAATATGCATTTGAATTAACTACATGTTAAAATGAATAGGAAATCTCATAGTAAGTTCATGGAACTTCCACTGTAATTTTGTTTGTTTAGCAAACACTGGAGTTGGGACAAAAAGTTTCATAACCATATTTATTGAGATGACTGTCAATTCAATTCAAACGGGATACCCGTTTCACATCTTGGAGTAGATAATCATTTCGACACCCATGAAAGATTAATAGCCCGTTTTGAGGAGGTGTCGTGGTATAGTCGTTCATTCAATTGACTCCGAATTCAAGGGTTAAAGGATCGAATGCTAGCCCGGCTTTAACGTTCTTGGGCAAGACATTAATCCATATTTTACACGAAAGTGTAACCGAGTACCTGACAATTGCTGAAGTATATTGTAGTACCCTGTGGAAGAACAGCATTATTTCAAAGTTTGTTCTCGTTATTTTTTTCAATTATCATTATCATTATTGTCATTGTCATTATCATTCTATCAATGCTAATTCATATATGTTCAACCTTTTGCAGGATACCATACGAGACTACCAGGTAGCCTTTCCTGGTGAGCAGTACTGTGTATATTGGGGAAAGGGACCCCTTTTTGTCAGACATCAGGAAAACGAAGACGAGGTTTCAAACAAGGTAAGAAATAATTTTATTGTTTCCCCCGAAGGAAATTATCCTGACAAACGATCGTCCGTTACTTATTCTGCATGGCCTAATATATATTTGTCTACATTACCAAAGACACAAGCTAGAGCTTTCTTATAGCGAGACTGAACTGATGAAATTTCTGCCTTAGCGTACTGTTCATTGCGCATCGGTATCTCATGGTCTATTTTCCAACAGTGTGTAATCCAATACCTTAAAGCCTATCCGCACTAGTTTGACCAGGATTGATTAGACCTCCCTGCATGGTGACTGACAGGTGGTTATCTCCTCAAATCATCTCTCATTTAACATAAGAAAAAGGGGACCATGGGGGACCAACTGTCACCGATTAGGCATTGTTTGCTATATAGAGGGCGCAAGTAGCTATAAGTAGTGTAGTGGGGCTATACTGATACGCTTGATTGATGGTTATCTCTGATTTTCTTAGGAACTTGAAGAATGTGCTTTCTTTGACATGACAACCCATCGGATGCCGTTCATTCTTCAGCGACGTGAAAAAATAGTATCCGGAGTTCTCGTCACTTTCATCTTGAAGCAAAAAATCACGAAGGAAATCGGCTTTACAGTATGGTACAAAGGTAATATCAATGAATTCCTTTTTGGGGAGGGGGTGGCTTAAAACCTCTCACTGGCAGTGCTGGCAGAGAAAATAGTATTCTTCTGCAGTTTCAGGAATGATTATTTGCCTGAGCTTCGAACAAGCTGTAACATATCTTCACAATAAACCCAAACAAACTCCAATAACATTATTTCTTTCATTTGAGATAATTTGTAATGACTTGTGTACTGAAAAAGACACGAGTTTACACGAATTTTGTTACGCATTTTTATTGAAACTGAACGAAATGCTCCCCCCCCCAAAAAAAAAAAAAAAAAAATTAACCCTCTACCAGTTTTGTCGATCCTGGCACTATTTTTTCATGTGAACAGATTCTACACCGCTGGTACCAGTGAATTTCACCCCACATCATTGGAAGTATGCTAGTGCGTTTATACTGGTCCAGCCTGTAGGTATATATATATATATATGTGTTTAATGTACAATTTGTTTACGTGCAATGCTAAATATTTCATTTAGGGTAGCAAAAGAACCATGGCAAGTTAGTCCTATTTCGAAAAAAGTATCATTTTAGGCTAATCGCTTCTCATCACTTTGATATCATGTATTCACAATTTAGATGTCCCCGACGAGAATCCAGTTACCCAATCAACTCCGAAAGGATCTGCATCGTCCAAAGGCAAAGCTGAACCAAATGATGTTGGACGGGGAACATCCAAATGTAAGATTAAAAGAAAATGTATTAGTACTATTTTTTCCTTTTATTTGTTTTGTTTGTTTCATACACAAATTTCGATATGCAGGGCATCGTTTTACGAAAGCGTCATGAGTACAAATGGGAAATGTGTGTAGAAAAATTAACACGCTTTTCAATGGGATACCGGCGAGCTTGTTACATGAAACAATGTCCTTATTTTCAGACGATTTGAACAAAATCGAAATAATAACATTGTAAGGAGACACACAAAAGCTTTTAATCTTGCGATTTACTCTCGTGATTGCGAGATGAATTGTATTTGTGCTATTCTGATTTGATTTTGATTGATTTTTGCTTTATCAGCATCTCAGCTCTCCGAAGAGCTGACAAGAAGCGAGCATCATGATCTTGAAGCGATAGGTTCAACATCACCTGAGCCTGCAGGCACAAAGGGTAAGACTATGGCCTATCAGGAGCGGTTCTGGAGGAATACCTATGAATATCTTCTTCTTTTTTTTGGGGGGGGGGAGGGGGCAGGAGGGAGTAACAGGAGGTGGGGTCTTCTAGCATTATGTGCTTCTTTTGGGGGAAGGGGGAGGGGCATTAGAACCGCTTCTGCGGCCCATATTCTTGAAATTAGTTTTTGTTTTAGATATTATTTAATGTTCAATCAATGTATTTTTATACCGTATAATTTTTACTCTGTAAATTGAACCATTTTATCTTTTTGCTACATATTCCATGATTTTATCTCAATCATTTCGATAACCCAACCTAATACAATATAATCCAAGGGCCGACTTGGGATAAATAACAGATGAGTCACAGTTCTTTACAATACAGCACAGGTTGAAGTCTGGTTTTAATCATTTCTTAAAGCCTTTTTTACGTTGCTTTATTTCAGATAGAAGTAGTCCTACTGAAGTACTTACAATACCTAGGCCGTTGACTCCAACGGCGATAGAGTCACCGCCATGTGAAAATGCCTACCAAGTCACACATGATTTGGTAACAGAGACAGAGACAGTTGGTAAGGAGCTGAAAGATAAAGTCATGTTCTGGGCTCCGTAACAACACAAATGTCAATTGTACCTCCAAAAAATTAAGTTTATCTCCTCGATCAATCGTAAATTTAAGGTGACATTTGATGTTATGTTACAGATAGTAACGAACAAACACCCTTTTGACAAAACATCAATCTATATATGCTACACTTGTCCGATGTGTAAAAGTAGGTAGGATACCTGAAATGGTTACTGGAAACTTGAACGGGTTAATAATATATTAAGTACTTTGCAAGCACATATAATTGTGATATACGCTTATTTCCTTTACACGCTCTTATAAAGTATCCATAGTACCTCCTACGCTACAGCATGAGCTGCGTTGTCGGTTGAACAGAGAAAGCCCAGTTTTTGATGACTGGAGGGGTCTTGCCAATCAGCTGGGACTTGGAGACTACATACAAACACTGGGGCAGTGCAAAAACCCGACTGAAGAACTACTCGTTCTTGCTGAGAGTCAAAAGAAGATTCAGAACCTTGGGGACCTGGCTAAGGCGTTCGAACGCATGAATCGTGGGGATTGTCAAGAGCTATGTGAGGACTATGCGTTTGAGAGAACAATGTCGGCTGATCTTTGGAAGGATCAAATGGAAGATGATGACACAGAAACCAGTGATTAGAAAACAGACTTAATCTGTTCCATATCACCCTTTAATCCAGGGTCTATGGCTCGTTATTTGGACAACCTATCAAAACAGCACTTTATGGTTGTTGTAGTCCGCCACTTATAATTCAGCTATCTGTCATTTGGTTTAAAAACACAACAATTGGATTTGCTCGAAGAATAATAAAGGTATACTTTAAGGTCGTATTCCCCTGATTTATTTAAGCCATATTCAGAGTATAAAATTCATGTTTAAAAGAAAACTTAGAATGACAGACCTATTTCCTTTTTGAACCTGCTTTTATGGACAAAAGTCTGAATCCAGCGCCAGGTTTAAATACTAGCACAATTCGGGCCTATAAAAGTGACTAAACATTAGTTAAAGAGAATATATGCATGTTTGTCGGATATATTATTCCCCAATATTGCGTAAACCTTATTCAATTTGGAGTACATTATACCTATTGTGTAGACGCTTACCCTCTTATTATCTGCTTCGCTGCATCAAGATTGCTTTTAAAAGAACGAAGAAGTGAGATTCACTGTTGGAATATTCATAATAATAAGATAAGATAAGATGTGGTGTTCCACCAGGATCAGTACTAGGGCCAACTTTGTTTTTAACTATATAAATGATCTGCCATCATTAACTGATTATTTCAATTTATTGCTGTTATTTTTGCAAATGATTCTAACATAAGTCATACTTATCAAGCTGACCAGTGCGAGATTAATGTGGATGATGTAGTTTACAACACACAGAAAAACTGGCACATTGCTATAAACAAACTTCAACTAGTTCAATGAAACTTATATCATGTTCATAAGTAGTATGCGTAAAAACAGGTATAAATGGTAAACTGGAAATAGCTTGATAGGATATCAAGGAGGTTGATGTTGTCAATTATGATACACGTCTGCCATGGAATAGTCATATTCGTTATGTAAATCAGTGTATCAGGATTGCAACATTTTGTTCTTAGGCGTACTTTGACATTATCCATTATCATATAAAACGTGGATAAAACCACACAGGTGTGGGGAAGCAATATTAGGTTAGCCTATTAAGAAGCATATAGTATTCACAGAAAATGGCAGTTCGTGCTTTTTTCAATTTCAATTTCAATTTTAATTTCAATTTATTTGCTCATAAAAATCCAGAAAACACATGCAAACATTCATAAATCGACATGATACAAAGGGTAAAATTCACAAGAAAAATTAATAACAAAGTATACATTTGGATTAAGTATGAGAGGGACAGCAAGAAAGGAACAAGCCTTGTGATTAGCTGACCCTGTAACATAATACATTAAGGACGCTACAAAAAATAACAAATCACTTACAACAACTTAAAGGGGGGGGGGTATGCCTATACATTTGCATTGAGAGAGTGAAGAACTCATACAGCTAAACTACTCTCGTGTTTGATCTGTTTAATAAAAGTTTGCCTCATATTTGGATAGATAACTGTGATATTCTAGAGTATAGCTACTCCACAAGGCAAGCAGAAGATTCTCTTGTGGTCTGTTACTTGATTTCATATTAATGTCAGATTCTGTTACAACACATTTGTTGAACAAATCATGAATCGAAAATCCATGCAAATAGTCTGTATATGTACACAAATTATCTTTCATATCATCAGTTTGTATCTTGTAAGACGTTGTTAAAGTTATTTATTTTTATATTATTGATTGTAATGGTAATCAATTTCTTTGTTTTTGTTTTGTTTTCTGAAGGTAACTTGTACAAAATACATGGTTTAGCTGTAAGACGTTAGGGTTGACTAGCACATATGCTATTATTCGCCCATTTCACCAACCAATATTTTCTCTTCTTGTTCACATAAATACCGTTGTATGAAATGCATGGTTCTTATTTGCTGTTGGTAAATGAATCAATCGAATACAAAAATCTCATAAAAATTCTTAACATTGACAGGATTATAAAAGTGATGTAGATGGATATGGAAATAAATTAACATCAACTCAAGTCACATCAAATGAAATGAATTCAACATTTGAATGAATCCAGAAGGAACCACAGGTGTTAAATTGAACATTTTGTTTATTAATGAAAACAATGAGCTCCTGTTGTATGTAAAGCCAGCGATTTTATTCCTTGGGGGGGGGGGCAACAGCCGGAAAACGCAACATTAAAGATGTATTGATAGCATTCTTTGATAGCATTCTTTGCATTTAATTAAACTAACACACCTTGACAAATAGCGGGGAATAAAGGGGATCCCTCATAAAAACTGAACATTATTACGTTTTGCGTGAGATCCTTCTCATTCAAACATTTATTACAAAGGGGTTCGTCTTTTATGTCACCTTTATTCCACGTTTATTCTTCTTCATACTTATCAAACCGTGTATGTATACTTTATGTACATATATAAATATTTAATTGCAATGGATTGATTGAAATTTTATGTTATCATGATGATATTCGTTATAGATAGGTATGATAGGCGCTCCTTTGTTATATATAAGTTCATTAATTTTGTGTGAAAGCAGAAAAATAAGAAATCCATGATTGCAAACGTTTGAATAAATCGGTCAAATAATGAAGCAGTTATGAATGTTTGAAACATTATATCTCTTAATCTATATGCGAATCTCAAATTGGCAATCGGGTCAATGGATTGTGATGACTGTATTCGTGGACAATTATTTCGTTTTTTGTGTACACAAATATCAGTATTTTCTGTTTTTCTCCTTAGTGCCTTCTTCCATGGGGCACTCCTACATACAATGTATTATGGATAGCATATTATATTATATATTTTATATGATATGTGTTTTTATTTGTGTTTGAAATAAATTGAATCGAATTAAATTGAATATATTGTGAGAATCTCAGTTTGAAAAGAAATTACATGTTTGCACTACCAATGACGTTAGAATACCAGTCATTCAAAAAGGGCATTGACTGGAACGCGGTTCTATATAGAGTGAGTCATAAAAAATGTCCCACTTTTTAAAAGTTGTAATGTTTGAAGTATGAATATTTAATCATGGGTTTCATGATATGTCTTGATAGAGTTATCCTCCTAGTACATTTAGGTACCATTTTCATTTGAATCTCTGCATGCATGACTGAACATCAGACAATCTTTACAATACTGCCAGATCTCACTTGCGCCAAGTTACTGGGTGAGGTATAAAACAGTGCATTGAACAAAGGCAGTCAGACAGAAACAGACTCACAGACACACGCACACACAGCACACACCTTGACGATTATTTCATAATTTCCCCTTTCTGATTAAGCAATGATTTTTATCAAGATCGCTGAATGTTTAAGTGGCATAGCCCTGACAATATTTCCCTTTAGTACAAATTCACTACCACCATCATGTCATCATCATCATCATTATCATCTTAATCTTCGATCATCATCATCATCATCATCATGAAGCACAACATCCGCCAATACGCACCAAGAGGACTGCGGCCACTTTTCGTACGAGAAGAAGAATTCCCGACAAAAAGTAACGGTTTGGGTGGTCCTTGTCGGCCTGGCAGTCTGTGTTCAAAACACTATTCTATTCCTCACCTAGCTACTTGGCGCAAGTGAAATATGGCAGTCCTGTAAAGAATGTCTGATGTTCAGTCATGCATGCAGAGATTCAAATGAAAATGGTACCTAAATGTACTGGGAGGATAACTCTATCAAGAGATATCATGAAATCAGCGATTAAATATTCATACTTCAAACAATACAACTTTTAAAAAGTGGGACATTTTTTTTCTGACTCACTCTGTAGAGCTCTCAATGCTTCATCAGTCGAGGGGTTTATACACATATAATTTTGGCAGAAAGACAATAAATTGCCGAGATTATTACATGTATCATCCGTGTGTGTATTTGGTAACAAAGTGAACGCTAATCAGTATACGCTCTTAGAATTAAGTTGCATGTAGGTAGCTGCTGGTTGTTTTAGAGAATTACCCGATTCTTGGCAATGATTTTAAAACTTCAGCGCCACAGCTTTTGACCATTCTAGGGGCAATTTACTTACAACAGATTCATATTTTATACCACCAAGCTATTCATATTGTGGGTGATATTCTGAAAACTTCTGATTTTCAGAATACTGAATTAAAGATATGTTAAGGGTATTTCAACCCACAAATGAACCTTCAGCAACGCCTTTCTCGGATCCAGTACTCCAGTTTGTATACTATTTGATATGGGCAGACTTAGGTTACTTGTACAGAAGTTAGAATATTTATCCTTGCACTAAGTAAATATCTGAGATTTTTTGTTCTTTTCCCTGGTTCCTTTTACATTTAAGAAAAGAAAAGTACAATAAAGGGATAGTTTGTCAAAGTCCATCACTATAACAATTATATATTCTGAACATTTTGGAGGACAGTGACACAAAAATCATGAAACATAATATTTTCTTCTTAATGGAATACATAAATAAAGGTGATATTTAAGTAGATCCTCGGAGAAATATAGAAGTGAACCTTATCTTGTAATACGTACTACGAACTAGAAATCAAATACGTACTACGTACTACAAATCCAATACAAAGACA